AACGCTAGAAGGATTTTTTTGAAATTGTGGTGGTGTGATACGGGCCGTGAAGCCTACCAAGTTAAAATATTTTCATCGTACTTCCGGTTATACCGGAAGTCGATACCAACATCCTTGTTTTAAATGGAACCCCCTGTACATTATTGCATTTTTGGAAAGACAATTTATTTTCAAGTTGAAAATATACAGGGTGATTCAGAAATTATCCAAAAAAATAATTCTGGATGTACAGGGGTTGTTATTATTAATTAATAAAATTAATTTGTGGTTTTAAATAATAGAAAAATTTGGCATACCTGATATTATAACTGTTCAAAATTTTGTCCACCGACGTGTAACATTTGGGTACTCAGTTTCTACGAACTAACACAAAACATTATTAAAATTAAAACGATATCCATCAACTCCGAAGTTGCTATACACGCAAGCCATTTTTAACACGAACTACTAAAAAACTATTGTAAACACTATGACAACGACGACTGTAAAATCGGATTTCAGTATTCGGAGTCGCTGAGGCCACGTGTCTCTCCACGCGTATTACGAATGACGCTAGAAACTACAGTTGTCCAGCTATGTAATGGTTGAAAGCACTTCAACAATTTTTTTTCTCAGATTTTACAATTTTTTTACGATATTGACTCCATTTCCGATTCAGCATCTATTCCCAAATTTTTTTGAAGAAATAGCACACTCCATACTTAGGACTGACAGTTTCCGAGATATTTTGATGTTTAGGCAAAAATTGACAGATGCAGACTGTCAGCAAAATTTAGATTTCCCGGAAACACATGTTTATTTTCTTGTACGAATTGGACATTTTGTAGAGGAAGACCTAATTTATCGGATTTGACATGAAAATTTTTCAGTTTTTGTACAAGGTGGTCAAAATAAAATGATCGAATGTGAAGTTCAGAAAATGTGGAAAACTCGGGAGTTTTTAAATATCTCTGAATTCATCTGAATTTACTGGTTCACGTAGGATGGTGATTTAAACACCCTGTAATTGCAGGCCGAAGAAAACTTGGTCCGCGCCGCGAAAGCGCACTGAACCGGAGTGAGACATCCAATAGCACTTATTAAAATCGGCTGGACGTTCCATATTTAAAATGTCACGTCCATTGTTCTCTAAACGTGCTAAATAATTGTTAAAATTATTGCCGTTTATTGACCTCACGGTTTTTTTTTCCGACAGCGCGGGACGTACCTACTCTCACTTTTCCGTCACGGCGTCTCTCTAACCGGCGAAATAATTTTTTCCCCAACGGTTCGACGACGGTAGGTGGTACCGCGCCTGGTTGCTATGGCTGCCGATGGCAATAGCTGCGGCACCACGCCTTGCTCTCCTCCGAAAAAACCGAACCACCGGATAAAATGGATTAAGATTAAGTCTGCGACTTTTTTGTCCCGACTTAACGGTGGTTCGTCAAAAAAATACAAAACCAGCGATCTGAACGAGCGCGCCTTTCGAATCGAAGATCGCATCTTTCCTTGTTAAGCGATGTACAGGATGATATTTTAAACAAGCTTACAGTTTTTTTTTTAATAAAATTGTAAAATTTACAATACGCCTGATTTTTTAATAGAATACAACCAGCATATATTAATGTAGCCGTTAAGTATAATTTTGGACGATTCTCTTGTAATTGTGGAACACGTGGACTTCTATTCCAACCTACACAACGATATCAGAATCACTCCGATCGAACTACCCCTGCGCCCAGCGGTTGCCACCGAACATCTGTTACACTTTGTAAAGTTTGTACAGTTTCTCGCAGGACACTCTGTACTGAATATCGAATTTTAAAACTTTATAAAAGCCTCATTTTTCCGCAACGGGTTTTCCGGCATTTCAATTTACATTTTCGTGCGCTATAGAATTTTAAAAAGCGTATTTTTATCAATAAATTATTTTAATGACCGACATAAATCTACTCCAATTGTGTGGAAATAAGTATTGTATACTTTTCGTTATTTTCGATTCCTATAGGGCGAAATGCGGAAAATTAACTGAGAAAAATGTTTTCAATGAAGACTTACTAAAAATTTTCCTCTTCTATTTGTGATCCTATGCTGCTCCCTCAAAATCTTGACGTACATGGTATTCCTCAAAGCTTCTCGGAGATAACGTTCTGTAATAGAAAATAGAACAATGATAACAAAGTGAGAAATTAATGACTCTGCTATTATTTTATATAATATGTCAAGAAAATAGTTATTTTTGTTTCTAAAACGCGAAATGGTAATTTTACGTTCAAGAATATCCATTCGAGAACGCACAAGCATTTCGTGTTCGAGATGCAAACAATATTTATTTGGAAATTAAAACAATTGTGTTATATATATAATACAACCATAGGCCAAGAAAATATAAGCTGGCATATGACCATTTCGCGACTTTTTGTTTCAGCAAGCTGAAATTATTACTATAGATGCTAAATATTGTGTACAATAACATATTACAGTAGGATCATATTCGATGCAAAGTAATAAATCATTGCCTGTCAATGGAACCAATGAAGTACGCTTTTAAGGGTTTTACAAATTGAATAATTTCTTTATACATTATGAAGGGACGAGGGGATCAGTTCAGGTCTGGCACCCTTGTTCCTACAAAAATTCCTTTATTCTCATAAACTATTTATTTTAAATGTAATTTATTATAAATCCAATTTGTTTCCTAAATTCCACATATGTACTACATTTTACCTCTGTACGCGCCACTGTTGTTTACTTGTTTTTTGGAAGCGCTCTCTAATTGACGGCAAAGCTCGCCAGGTTAGTATTTGACGTATAACCGACCAGTTCGTACACTCGATGTACCTGGGCGACTACAGCTACTACCAGAACACAGTGCGTATGCAGCGGTATTTCAGATTTTACATTGAATTTCATTTTAAATTTGAAATGGTTCATCTTACGCCTCCTAAAAATGATGACACGATTTTCCTTTGATAAAAGGCCGACAATTTTTTGCTCTACTTTGCATCGTATACGATCCTACTATAGTTTCCACACTCATAAAAATGGAAGGAAGATTGTTTACAGGGTGGTTAATTGTATAATTTTTACGTAAATTCACGTTTTTCACTTATAACTTTTTTCCGTTCATTTCCAAGAGAAAACAGTAAAGTACTTTTTTTTTCGTCTTCAAAAGACCTACAAAACTAGCCCTCGAGCATTAAAAAATATTGATTAGATCAAAAGTTATAAACAGAAGAAGTTTATTTATGACTTTTGAATTAAACATTTATAAACTGCGTTATTATTATCAGAACGTTTTGGCATCGCATGCTCTCATTCCTTATCACTGTCTAATAACTCACACGAAATCTGAAATCGGTAAGTTAAATAGTTTACAAGTTATGGCCTTATAAAGAAATTAACTAATTATTAGTCTGGACGATCCCGAGGATCTTCCACAATCGCACTAATTTTTTCATGGTAGATTTCATAATAATACATTCAAATCTATCATTTTTTTTTAATTTCAAATTTGTAACCTGGATTTTTTTTTATTTTTTAGCCTTGTTGCACAATGAAATATACGACGCACGAGCGTGATATAATTATAACGAGCGTTCAAATAAAAACGTGGTCGAAGTTGGCTCTGACACATTGGACGTAGGGAGTAGCTTACAGCGACCAACTTAACCTCATTTCTCAACGAGCTGTATAGCAGCTGTCAGTTTCAATAACGTTAATGACTATATAACTTTATTTTAAAGAATAATCGTGATAACAATAACAAACAATTAAAGGAGCTGC